AGGAAGTTACGGTACGATATGCGCGAATATCGAAAGGAACCGAGATCTTTGGGTTATAAAGTTACATTTCAAGTTTCATTAAAATCGAACAAAAATTGTGACCTCTATAGGGTCCACAACCTTGATATACCATATTCTTACGCTATTTGAGAAAGAACGGCAGCCATTTTGTCTGTCAATTTTGGGCCGATTTTCACAAAATTTGAACTCAGTCGACCCTAGGGTGTAACGGTGATATAATAATACATTTTTTTATATCGGATAAAAATTATGACCTCTATAGGGTCCACAAGCTAACCAGCGGCTGCCAGGCAGGATACGCCCACATTTTCGAGAGATGGATAGAGAACAAGCTAACAAGAAAGTGATTTTTCCTACAATCAAGAGCCATAATTCAGGAAATTACAATTCGATATGCGTGAATATCGAAAGGAACCGAGATCTTTGGGTTATAAACTTACATTTCAAGTTTCAACAAAATCGGATAAAAATTGTGACCCCTATTTGAGAAAGAACGCCAGCCATTTTGTCTGTCAATTTTGGGCCGATTTTCACGAAATTCGAACTCGGTCGTCCTTAGGGTGTAACGGTGATATAATAAAACGTTTTTTTAAATCGGATAAAAATTATAACCTCTATAGGGTCCACAAGCTAAAAACGTGATTTTTCGTACAATCAGGGGCCATAATTCAGGAAGTTAAGGTCCGGTATGCGCGAATATCGAAAGGAACCGAAATCTTTGGGTTATAAACTTACATTTCAAGTTTCAACAAAATCGGATAAAAATTGTGACCACAAACTTGATATACCATATTTTTACGCTATTTGAGAACGAACGGCGGCCATTTTGTCTGTCAATTTCAGGCCGATTTTCACGAAATTAAAACTCAGCCATTCCTAGGGTGTAACGGTGATATAATAATACGTTTTTTTAAATTGGATAAAAATTATGACCTCTATAGGGTCCACAAGCTAAAAACGCCATTTTTGGTACAATCAGGGGCCATAATTCAGGAAGTTACGGTCCGATATGCGCGAATATCGAAAAGAACCGAGATCTTTGGATTATCAACTTAGATTTCAAGTTTCAAGAAAATCAGATAAAAATTGTGACCTCTATAGTGTCCACAACATTGACATACCATATTTTTTACGCTATTTGATAATGGACGACGGCCATTTTGTCTGTCAATTTCGGGCCGATTTTCACGAAATTCGAACTCAGCCATCCTTAGGGTGTAACGGTGATATAATTAAACGTTTTTTTAAATCGGATAAAAATTATGACCTCTATAGGGTCCACAAGCTAAAAACATGATTTTTGGTACAATCAGGGGCCATAATTCAGGAAATTACGGTCCGATATGCGCGAATATCGAAAGGAACCGAGATCTTTGGATTATCAACTTAGATTTCAAGTTTCAACAAAATCGGATAAAAATTGTGACCTCTATAGTGTCCACAACATTGATATACCATATTTTTAGGCTATTTGAGAACGAACGACGGCCATTTTGTCTGTCAATTTCGGGCCGATTTTCACGAAATTCGAACTCAGCCATCCTTAGGGTGTAACGGTGATATAATTGAAAGGTTTTTTAAATCGGACACAAATTTTGACCTCTATAGGGTCCACAAGCTAAAAACACGATTTTTGGTACAATCAGGGGCCATAATTCAGGAAATTACAATTCGATATGTGCGAATATCGAAAGGAACCGAGATCTTTGGATTATCAACCTAAATTTCAAGTTTCAACAAAATCGGATAAAAATTGTGACCTCTATAGTGTCCACAAGCTGAAAACGTGATTTTTCGTACAAACAGGGGCCATAATCCATGAAGTTTCGATCCGATACATGCCAATATCGAAAGGAACCGAGATCTTCTGGAGATTAACCTATATTTCAAGTTTCGTCAAAATCGGATAAGAATTGTGACCTGTAGAGTGTCCACAAACAAATTGTGGACGGACGGACGTCCTGATGTCCGGACGGACAGGGGCGTAGGCATAATATGTCCACATGAAAATGTGGGCGTATAAAAACGCGATTTTTTGTACAATCAGGGGCCATAATTCAGGAAGTTACGGTCCGATATGCGTGAATATCGAAAGGAACCGAGATCTTTGGGTTATAAACTTACATTTCAAGTTTCAATAAAATCGGATAAAAATTGAGACCTCTATAGGGTCCACAACCTTGATATACCATATTTTTACGCTATTTGAGAACGAATGGCGGCCATTTTGTCTGTCAATTTTGGGCCGATTTTCACGAAATTCTAACTCAGTCGTCCTTAGGGTGTAACGGTGATATAATAATACGTTTTTTTAAATCGGATAAAAATTATGACTTCTATAGGGTCCACAAGCTAAAAACGAGATTTTTCGTAAAAACAGGGGCCATAATTCAGGAAGTTACAGTCCAATATGAACGAATATCGAAAGGGACTGAGATCTTTGGGTTATCAACTTACATTTCAAGTTTCAACAAAATAGGATAAAAATTGTGACCTCTATAAGGGTCCACAACCTTGATATACCATATTTTTACGCTATTAGAGAACGAACGGCGGGCATTTTGTCTGTCAATTTTGGGCCGATTTTCACGAAATTCAAACTCAGTCGTCCTTAGGGTGTAACGGTGATATAATAATACAGGTTTTTAAATCAGATAAAAATTATGACTTCTACAGGGTACACAAGCCAAAATGCGATTTTTCGTACAATCAGGGGCCATAATTCAGGAAGTTACAGTCCGATATGCGCGAATATTGAAAGGAACCGAGATCTTTGGGTTATAAACTTACATTTCAAGTTTCAATAAAATCGGATAAAAATTGAGACCTCTATAGGGTCCACAAACTTGATATACCATATTTTTACGCTTTTTGAGAACGAAAGGCGGCCATTTTGTCTGTCAGTTTTGGGCCGATTTTCACGAAATTTGAACTCAGTCGTCCTTAGGGTGTAACGGTGATATAATAATACGGTGTTCTAAATCGGATAAAAATTATGACCTCTGTAGGGTCCACAGGCTAAAAACGCAATTTTTCGTACAATCAGGGGCCATAATTCAGGAAGTTACGTTCTGATATGCACGAAAAGAACCAAGATCTTTGGGTTATAAGCATACATTTCAAGTTTAACTAAAATCGGATAAAAATTGTGACCTCTACAGTGTTCACAAGCTAAAAACATGATTTTTCGTACAATCAGGAGCCATAATCCATATAGTTGCAGTCCGATACAAGCCAATATCGAAAGGAACCGAGATCTTGGGGTGATAAACCTATATTTCAAGTTTCATTGAAATAGGATAAAAATTGTGACCTGTAGACTGTTCACAAACAATTGTGGACGGACGGACGGATGGGGGCGATGACAATATAATAAAAACTGTTTAAAATCACCATAAATCATTTAATTTGTACTTCTGTCCAGTTTAAAGCTGACCATTCAATTTTGATAATGAGTGTCCAATTTACAAGTGTTTAATTTCTCAATCACTGTTAACCAGCGGCTGCAAGGCAGGATACGCCCACATTTTCGAGAGATGGATAGAGAACAAGCTAAAAAGAAAGCGATTTTTCGTACAATAAGGGGCCATAATTCAGGAAGTTACGATCCGATATGCACAAATATCTAAAGGAACCGAGATCTTTGGATTATAAACTTACATTTCAAGTTTCAACAAAATCGGATAAAAATTGTGACCTCTATAGGGTCCACAATCTTGATATACCATATTTTTACGCTAATTTTGGGGCGATTTTCACAAAATTCAAACTCAACTGTCCTTAGGGTGGAACGGTAATATAATAATACGTTTTTTTAAATCGGATAAAAATTATGACCTCTAATGGGTCCACAAGCTAAAAACTTGATTTTTCTACAATCAGGGGCAATAACTCAGAAAGTTACGGTCCGATATGGGCGAATATCGAAAGGAACTGAGATCTTTGGGTTATAAACTTACATTTCAAGTTTCAAAAAAATCGGATAAAAATTGTGACCTCTACAGGGTCCACAACCTTGATATATCATATTTTTACGCTATTTGAGAACGAACGGTGGCCATTTTGTCTGTCAATTTTGGGCCGATTTTCACGAAATTCGAACTCGGCCATCCTTAGGGTGTAACGGTGATATAATTAAACGTTTTTTTAAATCGGATAAAAATTATGAGCTCTATAGGGTCCACAAGCTAAAAACGTGATTCTTTGTACAAATAGGGGCCATAATTCAGGAAGTTAAGGTCCGATATGCGCGAATATCGAAAGGAACCGAGATCTTTGGGTTATCAACTTACATATCAAGTTTCAACAAAATAGGATAAAAATTGTGACCTCTATAGTGTCCACAAGCTAAAATAGTGATTTTTCGTACAAACAGGGGCCATAATCCATGAAGTTTTGATCCGATACATGCCAATATCGAAAGCACCCGAGATATTTTGGACGTCCGGACGGACAGGGGCGACGGCATAATACGTCCACATGAAAATGTGGGCGTATAAAAAATAAACAACCCAATTGATTAATGATGTATAATGATTAATTTTTGAACAGTGGTCAGGAAATTAAATACTTGTAAATTGGACACTCATTATCCGAATACTTAAAACTAATAGATAAAGATGAAGTTCATCACATTTGAAATCCTACAAACTTAGTTACACATTTTGGGTAAAAGAGGGACTGTAACCAGGAAATTACGGTCTATAGTGCACTATTCAAGATTTTTTGATCCTTAATACATTTCAAAACATACCAGATAATATACAACCACAATTCAATGTGGGTAGATATGTTATCAGATGTTGACAGCAAAACACTTCGGTCGACATACAGTACTTTCTGAACAAATATCGCCAAAATTGCTGTGTTTTAGCTGATGCCGATTTCTACTTATCGGCCAATTACCGATGGAGAAACCGATAATCGGAACATAACAAATAGTGGGTGTGAAACATAAAAGTAATATGTTGATTAATTACCTTTAATATATGTAGAAGATTTCCAGAATGTGAATCCCATACTTTAAGTGAACAGTCACTAACAGCTGTTACAACCTGCAGATCATTCTTACTCCAACACACCATTGTTACACATGGTACTTCTAGATTACTATTACTACATGGTGTAGATGTTGGTGTTGCTACTGTATCTTTTCTATAATATAAATAAGAGTGAATAAAAACTTTATATACATGATTACCTCATGGTTTCTCCATTGTCGGACATTTTAACCTCCTTCATGTCAGCCGACAGCATGTAGAAACTAGTCTTAGATGTCACATATCCTAATAGTAAAACACCCCAAAGCAATGGACAGTCATAACTTTAAAAATGCTTCAATTCTTATCTACTGCCCAGTCCTCTACCGAGCGCAAATGTGACGATGCAGGCGCAGCCGTGTCCGCTGGTTCTACTTCAAGTTCTGTACCGTCACAAAATAATTTATATCTGTAACCATTTTCCTTTGCAGGAATTCCCATGTGGTCACATCTGTGAACCGATTCGCTATTACACAATATCTTTACCATTTTCCATTCACCGAAAACAAAGTATGACTTATATATACCCAAAATGTATTCATACGAATCACTGCCTATGAACACCTTTAACTTATTTTCCGTAATGAAACTACGTGATTTAAGATTCCATATAGACATTCCCAGTTCCAGTGGCACAGTAGTATGGAAATCATCACTTACTATTTAAGGCATTGCTTACTATGAACCTACACTAGAAGAATGGTATTGTTTAGAACAGGGTTTTTAGTGCTGGAAAGTATGCATATAGTTTACTTTCAAAACATCTTTCGATAATTGATCAAAATCGTTTAAAAATTACAAAGATAGGTTGCAAGGCAACGAAACATACGCCCACAGCTGCTAAATCGTCCGTGTAGTCAACAATTGTGTATACTGTGTATAAATTTAAAGTCAATCGGATATTAACTTTGACCTCTAGAGCGTCCACAAGATTTTTTGAAGTGATCAAGGGCCATAACTCTGACAGTAATTATCGGAAATCATTGAAAATCAATAGGATTCTTCGTCTCATGACCTTAAACACTGTGTATGTTTATGTTTAGGCTATTAACTTTAGCCTCTAGAGCGTCCACAAGCAATTGTGGATGCCGGACCGAAGGCCGGACGGACGGACCAACTGACGGACGGACGGGGGCGACGACAATATACGACCACATCTCAATGTGGGCGTATAAAAATGGTTTAGTTAGTACTATGGCTTAGTTTAATGGTAACAAGTTTAGTTTCTCCGAGAGGCGTTTATAAATGGACGAACTGTTCACTTATTTATGGCCATTTATTTATTAGACGAGCCGTTCACTTTCCCCGAGATACGTTGAAAAATCAACACACGGTTTACTTATCCACGGCCTTTACTTATTAGATGAGCGCTTACTTTCCCCGAGATACGTTGAAAAACCAACACACGATTAATTTATCTACGGTGTTGAACTATTAGATGAACCTTTTAATTTCGCGCGAGCCGTTTATCCGATCGGTTCATTTTGATTACGATTATTTACATATGAAGTACGAATAAAAAAGGTGAATATAAAAAAAAAATGCACACCCATAGACTATCACCTTACCGTGGTCGTAGTATTATTTATTATCCATTATCCTATAAAATTAGTATTCCACCATTGACAAATACATCCAAAATCTGTAAATCACGTCCCATGTAATTATACAATTGGAAATCGGTAAATCACGTCTCAAGACACTCAAGTAATGTATCTTTTTTAAATCACAAATGAATTAACTAGTCTTCCATCTGTACACGTGGTCATAAGTCAAGCTCACAATGGCAGTGGGATAATCTTGAGAGACTGTACATTAGACTGGCGCCCCAAAAAAGTCACTGTCAATCTCTATAGACAAGCTGGGTCCCATTTTTAGACAGCGTAATTACTTGATTGGGGGCTCCTGCGCAATTTAGTTGATTATTGGGTACAGCTAGATGTTAAATTTTGGTACCGATTCAAAATCCACATTCCCGAAAAAGAAAAAGGTTTATAAATAAAACAGAACATATATTTAGCTATGATAATCTAATAACAAAAACCAATTGTATGTATTTATATATATGTACACTAAACACTAAATACTAAAAAGACAAATAACAGCATGAATACTAAAAACGGTGTGTTCCCACTTAGCCGGCAGACTCCTTTGATTGATCTTAAAACTATAGTCTGTTTAAAAGTAGTCACTCAAGAACTGTTCACTAGTGTTCAGCGTTAATGAGCTATGTCGAAATCACCATTTCACAGATATTATTTGGTGGTACCAAAAGGCTTCGAGTTAAGAAATATTGACAACTTGATACAAGAATTGAACATTTGAAAACAGTTATTAAATGGCTCATTACGTGTAAATCGGTATGGAACAAATATTTCCTATTTAGTGGGGCTGTAAAATGATTGTTATGTTGTAAGGCATTTATTTATAAATTATATAATGCTATTTAATTAAAGTTAAATGTGTAAATTGTAATGCATTTTTATATGTGTAAATCATTTAATGTTATTTAATAAATATTAAATTTGTTATCACAGACAATTATCATGTCACTAATCTCCTCTTAATCTATATTCCCATACACATTAATTACAGAAAAGGCCTGTGTATACACGGTATTATGAGCTATTCACCTTTGGTCAGCCGATTGTTATTTAGAATATAGGATTGAGTCATAAATGAACGTTATTACAGTATAGATTAATTATTTGATTGGTTGAATGCTATTGTTTTATTAATTCCCACCTGTAGTCAAGTGCCTAGGTGCCATATGAAACCATGTTTTTGAATATACATGTTTGTAAGTACAGTATGGATTACTTCTTTGATTGGTCGAATGCTATTGTTTTGTTAATTCTCACCTGTCTGGGTGCCATACAAAATCATGCCTTTGAATGTACAGTTGAGTCATGAATGTCTCTTTTTATTAACATTAATTATTCGATTGGTCGAATGCTATTGTTTTATTAATTCCAACCTGTAGTTACCTGCCGGGTGCGGATCAGTTCATCCCACAACCATTTCACCTCAAATTGTTTCATTCCAATCTATTTTTTTATCCGGCTGTTTCATCCCGGGCTGTTTCATCCCCCTTGTTATTATCGTTAATAAACTGTTAAACACTTAATTATTGTTAAATAAACAATAATGTATGGAATAAATAAGTTTTACTCGTCGATTTTTGTTGATTACCAATCACGACCGGGATTAGTATATTCGTATTGTTTGTTAATTGGCGTTATGATTTTAGATTTTAGGTCAGTTCCCTGATGTTTTTGTAGTAAAGTATATTCGTATTGTTTTTATAATTGCTGTTATGATTTTAGATTAGTTCACCGATGTTTTTGTAATAAAGTATACTCGTATTGTTTGTTAGTTTATGATGTCTAATATCATTTATCTTCTTTATAAAAGATAGGTTGCCAGGCAACTAAACATACGCCCACAGCAGCTAAATCGTCCGAGCGGTCGACAAGAGTTGTCGTATATTTTTCTTTTGTAGGTAATTAGGGGGCATTTAATAGACAATCACATACAGATGACATTATAATTTTCGTCGTTTGAGGGTTCACAAGGTTCTAAAAACTAAAACAAGGGCTGTAACTCTAAAAGTAATCTACAGAAATTGTTGATATTCGACAGACTTTTTCGTTTTACTAATTCAAATAATACATATCAATTTCATACAGATCGGATGATAACTTTTGTCGTTCGAACGTTCACAAGGTTCAACAAAGTAAAACAAGGGCCATAACTCTAGAAATAATTGACAGAAATTGCTGACATTCAAGAGGCTTCTTAATTTCACTAATTTAAATGATGCATATGAATTTCATACAGATTGGGTGATAACTTTTGTCGTTCAAGCGTTCACAAGATTCAACAATGTGAAACAAGGGCCATAACTCTAGATGTAATTAACGGAAATTTGCTGAAACTCAATAGGCTTGTTCGATTTACTAATTTAAACGATACCTATAAATTTCATACAGATCGGATAATAACTTTTGTCGTGATAGCATTCACAAGGTACAACAAAGTGAAAAAAGGGCCATTATTCACGGTGTAATTAACGGAAATTGTTGAAATTCAATAGGCATCTTCGTTGCACTAATTTAAATGATGCATATCAATTTCAAACAGATCGGATGATAACTGTTGTCAAAACAGGGCCATAACTCTAGATGTAATTACGGAAATTGCTGAAATTCAATAAGCTTCTTTGTTTTACTAATCTAAATGATGCATATAAATTTCATACAGATCGGATAATAACTTTTGTCGTTAGAGCATAAAAAAGGTACAACAAAGTGAAACAAGGGCCATAACTCACGTCGTAATTAAAGGAAATTGCTGAAATTCAATAGGATTCTTTGTTTCACTAATTTAAATGATGCATATCAATTTCAAACAAATCGGATGATAATAATAATAAAATAATAATAACGAAATTTATATTGCGCAACAATTCATCCCACTTGGTGATGCTCTAGGCGCATGAAAGTGTTCATGTGGGTTAATTATAGTGACTAAACAGCCAGGTTTTCACACTTGATTTGAAGATAGACAGTGTTTCACATTTTCGAATGGAAGGTGGTAGCGAATTCCATAGAATTGATGCTTTATACTGAAAAGTCCTTGAACCAAATTTCTTCATCTTATAAATCGGTACATCTAACAATAATTTGTTCTCGGATCTTAGTGACCTTTTTGGCTGGTAGTGTGATAAGAGATTCTGAAGATATCTTGGTGCCGTTTTATGTAACGTTTTGTATGTCAGAGTTAAAATTTTAAAGTTAATTCTCTCGCGCACTCGGAGCCAGTGAAGATTATTTAAGATGGGAGTGATGTGTCATTTTGATCTGGCTTTAGTCACAATTCGCGCAGCACGATTTTGGATCTTTTGCAACTTGGAAATTTGTTTATCAGTTACTCCAGAAAGTACGGCATTGCAGTAGTCAATTCTGGACTAAGGGTGTGACGACTAAGCAAAACTTGAACCGGTTAGTCGGCGGCTAAAAAACGAACTGATTCGATTTAGTCGGTAATGAAAACTAACTGAAAAATATTAGTCTTCCATAGTCTACAATACAGGCCTTTATATACGGAGCTTAA